ACTTAAATGTGAAGTCCCCACTCTCTGTGTTGTCTTGTAGCGACCACATGTTCAGCCATTTCCGATTTCTCAATCCGTAAACCCTTGCAGGAGGTTCTGTTCTGATAGCCTCGTATGCATGGGTCGAAAAGGCTCCCCCACATAAACACTAACACATGAGCAGAAAACCTTATAACAAACTGATCTGTAGAGAGCGTCGGAAGATCCTCTAAAAGAAGGCATGATCGAGTAAAGCGTTGTCGTTTCTTTCTACCTTGTCTTGACACTCCATTTTCTCAGTAATTCGCCTATTTTTCTTGAAAGCTTGCAGGATGGTAGCATTATAAACTTGGACAAAGAGTTGTCTAATTCCTTATTTTGTCCAGAATAATGCTTTTCCTTCATCCTACTTTTCAATATTTTGAAATTGTTAACAATTAATCCTAACGGATAGTTGTTCTCAACTAAGACTTTTCTTAGCCTTTCTAGCTCCTGTTTTTGATGATTTACGTCCTCTGGGATAGAGAGGTCTGAATCCCAACTTTTTCCCTAATATGGGGACTTCACAGCTAGGCGGAAGATCAGGTAGTCAATTGAAATTAACAAAACAAACACCCTCCTAAATCAGAGGAATGAATGTAGGAAATTAAGTATGAACTAGCTGTGGCCCCTAAATAGAATGTGTGTATGTGTGTGTGTGTGAGAGAGAGAGAGAGAGAGAAGGAGCCACTGAGTAAGAGGAGAAGACTAAACTAAGCTGGAGCCTGTTCTCGTACCTAAAATTGCCAACCAACTCGTGGTTGTTTCACACACACACAAACACGCATCCGCGAAGTCGTAACAAGACCCAGGACTACTGGATCATACTCTACTTTATTTGCCCACACGAAGCCGCAACCTCGCCTTGGCAAACCCATTGGGATTTGGTACCGAGCCGTGAGTACTGTGGCGTTTTACTGGCACTCGTGGCTGCGGAGGGAATTAGTTACGTTGCCTCTCGTCTACACGCACAACAGGATTATATACAGGCCAGAGGGCATTCTGGCGACAACTCCACTCCGCTCTACACCACTTTATTTCACTTCAATTCACTTCACTTCACTTCACTTCACTTCACTTCACTTCACTTCACTTCACTTCACTT